TATGAACTAGGAGGTCATGGTTGATTCCCAGTCCAGGCACGTGCCCAGGTTGCGGGCTCGGTCCCCAGTAGGGGGCGTGCAGGAGGCAGCCCATCAATGATCCTCTCGTCATTGATGTTTCTTTCTCTCCCTCTTCCTTCCTCTCTGAAATCAATAAAAATATATATATTTTTTAAAAGGTTGAACCCCACAGAATTAATACTCTTCGTGGGACTAGGTTGTGAGAAAAACTTACACAAAGCAATTTAGAGAAGACCTTAGTAACAGGGTAACTGTGTTAAAAGTATTCAACAATTGCCAATATAGAAAGGCAAGAAACGAGTAAAAAAACCAAAGACAGATATCCTTTCTATCTTATGCCCTAGTATCTAGGTCAACAACCACCAATAACAAAAATGCAGGCCCTAGCCAGTTTGGCTCAGTGGATAGAGCATTGGCCTTCGGACTGAAAGGTCCCCGATCGATTCCGGTCAAGGGCACATGCCCAGGTTGAGGGCTTGATCCCCTGTAGAGGATGTGCAGGAGGCAGCCAATCAATGATTCTCTCTCATCACTGATGTTTTTATCTCTCCCTCCCTCTCTGAAATCAATGAAAATATATTTAAGAAAAAAAATGCAGGAAAAGAAAGCTAAGGAGGAGGAGTGAGTTTGGTGCTTGTGAGATACTTAGTGATTGATGGTTTGGTGCCTTCTCTGCAAGAAGCTGTTATGAACGGTAGGGTGGGTGGGCAAGGCTGGAGGTAATGAAAAGAAGAGAGATGATGGGCTAAATGACTTCCTCACTTAGAAGTGTTATTACCAGTTAGAAAGGCTTTGTTACTTAAACCCAAAAGCAAACTAAAAGTGGTCTTCAGTATACTATTTAAGGGCAAAGATAGGACAGTTCCAAAGTTGGCTAATTCAGTGACTCAAAAACATGAAACCAGATTCTTTCCATCTTCTCTACCCTCACCCTTACAACAGCCTATTCTTATAAATTCTGCCTCATGATCCTAGCATTGCTAATGGCAATTTCAGAGTCCGAAAGGGCTTTCCTTTCCAGAGGCAGAACATTGTCCTTCAGATAGCCCATATTTTGGTTGGAGCCATACCACCTGAGTAAGTAGTTCCTCTATTTGCTATCTCTGACCTTTCACAAGTTACTGAATCTCTCTGTGCTTCAATTTTCTCAACTAGAACATGAGAATCTGAGAATTAAATGAGTCAATATTACAGTACTTAGACACTTAGATGTTAGGCATTTAGACCTCAAAAAAAATTATGGTACTTAATACCTAGCACATAGAAAGTTCTATATAATTTTTGACTATTATTATAGCCTTTTCAGCTGTCTTTTTTTGAGGTTGTTTGGTGATATCTGGATTAAAATACAAGCTGGCAAAAAATAATAAATAAAACCTGGCAAATCTCTTTTAAATAAGGAAGGCTTTCCCAGAAGTCACCCAGACTTCCCTTCACATCTAATTAGCCAGAACTGTATCACATGCCCAGGCCTAAATCAATCACTGCTTAGGGAGTTAAAATTACAATGATTGGTTTAGACCAGGGGTCCTCAAACTACGGCCCGCGGGCCAATGCAAATACAAATATTGTATTTGTTCCCCCCTTTTTTTTTTTTAACTTCAAAATAAGATATGTGCAGTGTGCATAGGAATTTGTTTATGGTTTTTTTTTTTAAACTATAGCCCGGCCCTCCAACGGTCTGAGGGACAGTAAACTGGCCCCGTGTTTAAAAAGTTTGAGGACCCCTGGCTTAGAGTTTATATTAATCAAGACCTATCGCTGGGGCTGGGAGAGGCTTCCAGATTCCTGATTAGCAAGGTGGCAAGGAATGGTGATAAAACCACCAGTGTCTGCCAACACTTAGTCTTGAGAGGTTATGGTCTCTGCCAGGGAGGGTTAGAATAAGTAACTTCCAGAACTCCAAATATCACCCCCACAGGGCTCCTAATGGCAGTGAAATCACTACAAAGGTCTGGTAAGGCTAGTGAAGTTTGGCACAGGAGAAATAGCATCGGATATAGGGCAGAGCTCAAGGAGAGTATACCAGAGAGGCGGTGAAATACAACAGGTTCTACATTTATGTGGGTGTGGTGCAGGCCACCAGGCTTGGACCACCACCTAATCTCAAAGCCTCAGTTTACTCATTTATAAATGAGGAAAACCCAAACTAACTCAGATTTGATGTGAGGATTAAATGTAGCCTTACATTAGTTTCACTCCCATGGTATAAGGATCAGCCAAAACAAAAGGTTGGAAAGACAGGCTGGGACAGGGAGAGGTACCTGATATGGAGTTGGGGAGACAAGGGGAGGCAGCCTGATTCTAGATTAAAAAATCCCTTTCAGGCCCTGGCCAGTTTGGCTCAGTGGATAGTGCATCAGCCTGTGAACTGAAGGGTCCCAGGTTCGATTCAAGGGCACATGCCTGGGTTGCGGGCTAGGTCCCTGGTGGGGGACGTGCAGGAGGCAGCCAATCAATGACTCTCATCATTGATGTTTCTATCTCTCTCACTCCCTCTCGCTTCCTCTCTGAAAGCAATAAAACTATATTAAAAAAAAAAATCCCTTTCAGGACCTTGGTCAGGTTTTGTTGCTCCACTGAAGAACTTTCAAAGTCTACTGGAAAAGGACTACTTTACTTCACACCTTAAGTCTTCCAAGAGGCTTATGTGCAACAAAATAGGTAAGAATCTCACTTCTGGCCCTAACCGGTTTGGCTCAGTGGATAGAGCGTCGGCCTGCGGACTGAAGGGTCCCAGGTTTGATTCCGGTCAAGGGCATGTACTGTGGTTGTGGGCACATCTCCAGTGGGGGGTGTGCAGGAGGCAGCTGATCGATGTTTCTCTCTCATCGAGTTTTCAAACTCTCTGTTCTGTCCCTCTCCCTTCCTCTCTGTAAAAAATCAATAAAATATATTTAAAAAAAAAAGAATCTCACTTCTGGCTTTACTACTTACTGTGTTATCTTCTCTGAGGTAGTTTCTGTAAAAATGGGAGTAAATCGCCACCAAATTTATTTCACTGAACTTAAACTAAACATAAGCTCCTGCAGCGGTTCTCAACCTGTGGGTCGCGACCCCTTTGGCAGTCAAATGACCCTTTCACAGGGGTCGCCTAAGACCATCCTGCATATCAGATATTTACATGACGATTCATAACAGCAGCAACATGACAGTTATGAAGTAGCAACAAAAATAATTTTATGGTTGGGTCACAACATGAGGAACTGTATTTAAAGGGCCAGAAGGTTGAGAACCACTGACTTAGAGGCACCAGTATTCCTGAACTTGAGGACCAATACAAAGTCTGTAACATTAAAGCCCCTAAAATTTTTCGATACATAAAGCAGCAGTTACAAAGACAGGCATGTCAGCCTTAATGGAGGATTCTGGAAACCAGAGCACTTAAGAAAAAGGAACTAACATTATTGAAGGTGGGCAAGAATCTGTTCTGATATGTACGGAGCTCTTACTAGGCTTCCGACACTGTGTTGTATCCTTTGATAACACTGCCCCCTTGCTCTGTCTAGAGATGAGGAAATGAAGACTCAAAAAAGAGAAAAGTAACGTTTATTGAGGATACGCTAGATACTTTCCATGTGTTACTGCATTCGACACCTAGGTGACTCCTCCGGATGGGAGCTAGGAAGCAACAGGCAGGATTATAATGCCAGACCTGATTCTACAGTCATTGCCTTGCAGCTCAAGGGAATAATTTATGTTTTCTCAGGATTAGGGATCTTCCAAAACTCAACCCTAGAGTCTCATTTAGCGCACGCGCGAGCGCGCACACACACGCACACACGCACAATATTTGGGGTTAGCAATTCAATTTGCAGTTTTTCAGTTTCGTTCAGACTAAAGATTTCAAAGTGGTCCCACTAGCAAAAAAAAACCAAACAAACCCACCCACACACCCACCTTTACAACTTTGGTTAAAAGCTTTCTTTCACCCTTTTCCCAGCCCAAACACTAGGGGGCCAGGGTATTAACGAGGGTTCTGGAGTAATCACCCCGTTTTAGGCACCGTGTGACCTTGGGTGAGTTACCTTACCTCTCGAAGCCTCAGTTTCCTTATCTGTAAGATAGGGACACCAGTAGTCTCTCCGTCCTTAGGTGGCGCACATTAAGTAAAACGTGACATACACACACTCAGAACAATACCTGCACATCGGAAGTGCTCTGCAAATCTTTTCTTTTATTTTTTTATTTTTTTCCTGGAGTCGGAATACCACTGATGTTTCTGTCCCTAAGTCCAAAAGCTTTGCCATCGTAGTCTCCCTGAGCACAAGCCTGGCCAGCCGGCGTCCCTTAAGAAAGAGCAACAGGTCGCTTTTCCTCCTAAGTCCCCGACCTACCTACGGCCACAGGTGCCGGCCTTTGGTTTTCTGCCACCGCGAAGGCTGTCACTCAGCCCCACCGCACCTCCCTGTTTCCGCCGGGGCCGGGGAAGTTCCAGGCCTTCGGCCGCCGAGCCGTCTCTGGCATGGCGACCCTTGGTTACCGGCCCGGAGCCGGCGCGCCTGGCGTCTCCGCGCCGGGGGACTCCGCCCTCGACGCAGGTAGGGTTTCCTCCGCTCGGGGGCTGAGCCGCTGAATACGGTCAAGATGCGCGTCGGCCACGCACACGCCCGGGAGGAGGCTCCCCCGGCACCGCCCGGGCCTGCGGCGGGGGG